GGTTTACTACAGTAGGCCTACTTGGTTTTATTTGGGTTTTCGCTCTGATGCATCGAGGACTCGCTTCCAACGATGAGTCTGTTTATCGTAGGTCGTAGTAGACAATACGTGCGGCTGTTACCGTATCTGAGCACCCACTTCTGGACTGATCAGAGATAGCCTTTCCCTCATAAGTTCTTTACCATTGGTCTGCGCCAATTATGGCAAATATCCAGGCTAAAATAGAGAGGTAACAAAATACTATACTGTATGCCTAAACAGTTAAATGTAGAGTATCTCTCTCTACAGTACTATCATTATCTGTGATAGCAAATAATTAAAACAGCGGGATATAAGATAGGTCTACTGGCAATATTGTAGCCTTAGGAGCAAACTTAACCAAAAAGATAAAAGTAAAACTATAATACAATCATTGTTGTCTTGAGTAATGACAGGTACAATATGGTTATCTTTAACTAATAGGATTACCCCATGGCCATTGGAATTTAAAAGGCATGAGCCACAATGCATAGAACGTTTCCTATGTTTGTAATACAAAAGTAAATTAAACTACATTCAAACATTAACGGGCTATGGTAAATCATAACTGTAATGATTTTAAGGTACAGTTACTACTTCTCAAACCAATAAACAAACTATATACAGTATATTGTTCAAACGTAATAACTAATTATATCGGACACTATATAAAATAGTGCAGATCAATAGGTAAACTTATATTCATAAACACTATTAACATCTAGCGCAATTCTGTGTTAACACATTTAAATGTAATAAAGCAAGTTAATATTCAAAACTCACCTAAAATAGAGAGCCAATATCCAATAATAAACTCTGCCAAATGTTCAAATGAATTGATAAACTCTGCCAAACGTTTAAGTGAATTTTCACTTATGAAAATAACAGTGTACTGTATAATATAATTCTACACAGTTTAGCGTATTTGTTCAGTTGAGGTACAGCAACAGTACATAACTTGTAAGCAACAGTACTTTGTAAAAAAATATAAAGTTGTATAGATCGGCAGTTTGAAACGACCAGCGCTTCCAATTGTAAAAGGCAGAAAAGAGACAGAACTTTGGTGACAAAGCCCTAATATAGGCCCTGTCACATGACCTACACTGACCACTATTGGTCAGTAATTGTTACCAGGCAAAAATATAATGGGTGTCCAGATGCAACCTTCTAGCCAAGTGGGACCTTCTATCTAATTAATTAAATGGGAGCTACTCCCTGATAATTAGTTTGCCATCTACCTGAAGAATTTTTACCTCCCATACGGCCTTGCACATCTACATTGTATGTAAATGAAAATAAGGTTCCTAACAAAACTAGAGTCAGTATAACACAGCCTTAAAATGGCTCGGTTACACAAGGGAATAACAGTACCCAGCCGGGAAAATACAGGCATTCAAGAAATTCGTATTTCTCAACTGACAGGCGACACAGTTTTTTTTAATGATACGTAAAGGTGTAAATATTGTCAACGATTTTTGTAAAGTATCAGTTTTGTACCTTAACAAAGTCAAAACCAATGCTATGTGGATCAGCAAAAATAAAAATAGAGTTGAAAAACCATGTAGCTTAAATTGGGTAAACGAATCAATTAAGATTTTGGGAAAATATTTAGGATATAATAGCAAGGTATGTAATAAACTAAATTGGGAATCTAAATTGTTAAATTTAGAAAAGTTGCTAACACTTGGAAGGGTAGAGACCTGACTTTTTTTTGGCAAGGTGACAGTATTAAAGAGTTTAGCCATTGTCTAAACTAACATACAATGCATCAATTATCGAAGTCCCAGATGATGTTATTTCTAAGGTTAACAAACTGACATATGATTTTTTATGGAACGGGAAAAAAGAAAAAATAAAGAGAAAGACACTAATCGGTAAAATTACTGAATGAGGCATAAGTATGCCAATTTTTCACTAAACGTGAAAGCACTTAAAATGTCTTGGACACGGAAACTACTTTCTAGGAAACATGTATTTAAGATGGAAGCTGTTACCGTTACATTACATAAATGAACTTGGTAACGAAAGATTAATTTTCGGTATGTCAAGTTTTGACCTTAAACATCATATGATGTTTCAGAGTAGGCCTATACCAACCTTTTATATCAAAGTTATTGAGTGTTGTGCCGAGCAAAAACAACGCTGGCATAATTAATAATTACGATGAAATCCTCAGACAAAACTTATGGGGTAATAAAGAAATTACCTTTAAGAAAAAATCTTTATTTTTTAAGAATTGGATTGCATCAGGGTTAAATCAAATAAAAGATATAGTTAATTTTAATCGAACGCGACTGAAATACTGGACAAATTGGGTTCGAAAAGGAACTGGCTCAGTGAGTATGTTACACTCAAGGAAGCAATTCCAAATGATTGGTTAAGCATAATTAAGCAGTAGGTTAATACCCATGATGTAATCAAAGATGATTGTAATATAAGCATAAACATAGAGAAATTGAAAACAAAACAGATTTATTCAAACCTGGTCGATACAACGTTTATTCAACCGCATTGTAATTGTATACGCAGATGGGAAAAGGTATTTGATGATACAATATATTGGAATGAGGTTTGGAAACGAAAAATAAAAGATGAAAAAAAAAAAAATATGCACAACTAAATTATAAACTATTGAATAAAATTGTTTCTACTAATGTATGATTATGTAAATGGAGGCTAAAATTTACTAACAAATTTAATATTTGTAATGTTACTGATGATGAAAAACACATGTTTTATGAATATATACGTAATGATATACTATGGAAAGAAATTGATAAATTATTTTAAAAAATAGATAAAGGTAGTACTTCTTTTAAAGAACTTCTCTTGGGAAGCGTGTGTAAAATCAAAAACCAGTTGTATTCCATTGCTGCTTATTCAATTTACAAAATTAAAATATTAATTGAATTAAAAAAAGCCAACATGTAAAAATCTATGGGTAGTTTTTAAGCTAACGATAAATGATATGGACCGCCTAGGGATACTATTTTAACTATTATTATTAACGAGTATTAGTGATTTTGTATTGTTAATTCAGATAAATGACGAAGTATTGGTCGTAATAATGACATACAGTACTAATATATTATTTTATTTAAAACAAAAGAAAAAAAAAAGAAAGTTTGCATATTATGATGAGTACATGCTTATGGCTTTTTACTTTGTTAAATATGCAGTTGGCATGTAAGAAGATTCTTATAATTCTACTTACATTTTTATTTTACATTTGAATAATTTACTATTTTGCAGTTGTATAGGCAGAATATATCATCGTATTAAAAACAATATGCCCTTTTATTGGCCAATCATTACGGTACAATGTACAATGTTACTGTTACTCTTACGGTACAATTACTGATATTGAGTCCGTATATTTTATTATAATTAAAAAAAAATGAAAATAAAAAAAAAGGTTTAAAAAAACTGAAATAGGCATATATCAAAACATATTGAGATATACTAGTTTTAAAAATTGTCTTTACTGAAAAAATGGAATGAGAGAGAGAAAAAAGTGAAAACCCTGAAAAAAGGAGAAAATGAGTGAGACTCACTTGATATATAATTAAATATATATATGTGTGTGTGTGTATATATATATATATATATATATACATATACATATATATATATATATATATATATATAATGATGGTACAGTGTCAAGATCAGAGTAAAGAAAATATTATGAAATACAATGTTTAATTGATTGACTTTTAAAATTGATGAGATTTTGTTGAATAAAAGTGGTAGTTCGCCAAAAAAGAGAAAAAAACCCCCAATTTTTTCCAAACAGGGTAAATTTTATTATTATTATTATTAGCAATTCTTTTAATATGTAGCAATTATTATTGTCAAATTACTAACAATTATTTCCCAAAAAAGGGTAAATTTTATTATTATTATTATAATTATTATTATTATTATTATTATTATTATTATTATTATTACTAGTTCCTTTGTGACCTTAGGTCACAGATAAACTATTGGGATGATACAGATTTTAAATGTGTGTATGAGATGTATGACAACAACCTGTCTGTATGTCTGTAAACAAATAGGCTCCTAAACGGTGCCTCGCGGCGGACATTGTGCCCAAGAGGTACAGGTGGACATGTAATTGTGTGGGAAATGTTTGTTTTTTCAGTTAGATAGAAAATGTAAGCTGTACGCGATATAACATATACCCCCTACCACCAGTTTTGAGTCGTTTTTTAGGAAAAATTTTGATTTGTGCATGCGTCAGAAAAAGCCGGGGAAAAAAAATGACCGAAAAAACGATCGTTTTCGTATTTTTTTAAATTTTTCAATCATAAAGCGCGCCACCAATGTTATATTGCCATAGGCAGGGCAAAGCCTCTGCGCGACAGTCGGTGGATCCAGCAGGGGGTACGGGAGCACATTCCCTCACCCCGTTTTGCCACAATTTTTTTTAAAATTTCAATGTATATCAATGTGCTATTCACTTATCTATTCTGAAACGTTTGTTCCTCCTCCCCCGTTTGGATCCGCCCCTGGTGTCCTTGTAGATTGAGTAGGCTACCAGTACAAGTTCATTCTCGTGACGTAATGAGTCATCTAGCTCACTTGTACTTGCGTTTGTGATATGTGTTAATTGCGCTGGTCTTCTAATCAACACTATTGCCGATTCCAACCTTGGATGAAAATAACGCAATATTATGGAATGAGGTATTGTCAACTGCAACGGTAGCGCACTGGAACATAATGTTTTCCTGAGCTCTACTATTGGCATAATAATTAAATTTGTCCATTTATATTTACTTTTTGTTAATTTGTCGCGCTCTAAAGTCCCAAATGCCCTACTGAGCAAAACTCAATTTTAGAAATCCAGTAGGGCCCTAAATACATGCATTAAACAAAACATTCAAAAGTATCTAGTAATCTCAAAATAAAGTACAGTAGCTATCAAGATTTTAAGAGTGCAGCACTTATGATTTGTCCCTCTCGCATTAATTTTTTTTAATTTGTTGCAAATGTTAACACCCAAAACCATTACTCCCATAATTGGTTGCAATGCAATATGTATCCCATATAACAAATAATTTCTACGTGATCGCAGTTTTGATTAAATGTTTAAAAAAATGTTCTTTGGTTGGTAATCTTTAACCTTGCTATAACTTTTGTAATTTCACCTCCATTAGTGTAAAATATATGTTCATATTAATTAATCTCTGTACTGTTTATTATTAGGGGTAGAGATCATCACAATGGAGATAAAGTTCCCAATTGCGAGTAAAGATCAACTGATTGACCAACTAAAAGAGAAAATTGATTGTAACAGTGGGATCAAACTAATTATCTTAGATCACATCACAGGCCCGTCTGCAATACTAATGCCAATAGAGGAATTAATACAAGTATGTCATCAAAAAGGGGTGATGGTGATGGTAGACGGTGCGCATGCTCCTGGGCAGGTTAAATTGGAGTTAGATAAACTTGGAGCACATTTTTACATAGGTAGGTTTAAAGTGAAACTGATTAAGTTATATACTCATCCTCATGTTATCATCAACAGCATTATCATCGGTTTACTCCTGAATTTATTTACAATGTTTAGAAGTATCCATTTAGATAGGCCAATTATTTATTGTAATTGTCTATTTATGTTTTCCTCAGGTTGATTCTCTTCTATGCAGTGCTATGTAGATCATGGTCTGGGCCATTAAGGGTTATGTTCTAAAAAAATAAATGATCCAATTTTAGAGCCCATTTAGATTACTATCACTATGCTATATGCTATATGATATTTTTAGACCCCTATGAGCAGATTTTATAATGTTATAAAACTCTGGTACAGTAGAAATATACGTTTTGAAACAACGATTACCAGCCCAAGAAAGTTCTACCAACTTGCTAAAATACAAAATAAGTACTGTAATAATGTTTGGAGTTTCTAAACTTTCTTTAGGGAACCTTCATAAATGGTGTTATTCAGCACGCGGATGTGCCTTTCTTTATGTGAACTCTAAGGTTAGAGATGCCGTACATCCAGTAGTGACGACGTCATTCGAACGTCCTCGATTACGGGACCGATTCATACTGCAGGGAACTAAGGATTACACTTCTCTATGTGCATCATCTGCTGCTGTTGAATACTTTAAGGATATCGGAGGCCTGGTAATACAATTTCACCATTTCACTATCATTCACATATGCCCACAACAACATAACACACTGGTGGCCATCCTTGCCGGAATTTAACGAGAATGATGACTACACGGAGGCTCAGCAGGCCCGTAAACAAGTTCTTTAAAAAAGAGGTTCTCTGGTCGTGGGTTCCAGGGGCGAAGCCTCGGTAGAGTCAGCAACACCCCCCGAAGCCAGAGGATTTTGGTGTTTTATTGGTCTAAATAATGCTATAAAAGCAGTTGTGTTTGAAAAAAGTTCTGCAGCAAAAAAAATTCCGTCTGATTCTGGGTGGGTCTGCGGTGCATTAGTTGGATTTGAGGACTCGTTGAGGAAATTCGAGTGGGGTGGGGTTTGGCAGAAAAGAGGGGGTTGCTAGAAAAGGGGATTTGCGCGAACCATGAAACCACCCTTGGCTACGGACCTGCTCAGAAATGTTCACTTCTTGGCCTGATAGAATCTGCCATTGTATATGCATCATCCAATATGAATAAAGGATTGGCAATGCAATGTGCACCCGTACCATCTTATTGTTATCGAGTCCTTTACGTTAGTGGTATTCACGTAAAGATCTTGCTTTTTTGTTTTTTATTTGCCAAACGTTTCTTTCGCGCACCAATTCTGAATATGGCTCATGATGTAGAAAGAACGAGCACGTGACAGAAAGTGAAAGTTCAGTGTACATTTTATATATATTTTGTGTTTATTGAATTATATTGTTTTTAATCTTGGGTCTTTTCAGTGTATAGAATTTTTCATTGTAAATTTTATACAATTCAGTTATTTGCTGCCAATTAAATATTTTAAATAAAATTGAAATTTGCATTTATAGTATGTATAATAGTCCACATTGATATGGTTATATCGGTGCGTTTAACAAAAGCGTATGCAAACCAACTAACGTGCGTTCTTCCAATCGTACACATATTAATGTTACAAAATGAAATGGCTGATTTTTATAATGTATTTTTTCAGACTGCTGTAACAAAATACAATTCATCTTTACTGAGTTGGGCTACTGATATGCTATGTAAAGCTTGGAATACGAGCTTGCTGCCCATCCCTGACAGCATGCAGGCGCCATTCATGGTCCTGATAAAGATGCCTGACATAGAAAACGTACCATTAACCCCCGAAGGAAGTACCTCGATAGCGGCAAGTGTTTATAAACAACACAATCTTCATATTGCTTGTACGAGAGTTGATGGACGATTCTGGCTCCGGCTCTCTGCTCACATCTACAACTATGAAGATGACTTTTATAAATTAAGGGACGCACTGATGGATATGTATCAATCAAGTTACAATCTAAATTCCTGAAGTTATTGTTTTGTCACTGCCAGGTTCGAATGTATATTTTTACGATGTATTTTTTATTTTTTGTGTTGATGTAAATAAAGCTAATAATAGATATATGGATTGTGATATAATGGTACAAATCTTTGATATACGGCTTTAGCATACCGTAAACCTCGAATTGCAGCCTTGGGCTTTTTTTTTTTTTTTTTTTTTGCCAACTTATAATTCGAAATGGGCTTCTTTTCGAGGATACTTTTGCAAAGTAAAGAGGGGGCTTCTTTTCAAAATAAATGCTGTAAATTTTGGGAATTACTAATATAAAACAATAAATAGGGTCACTGTAACATTAATCTGTATCATGGAGTGTATAATTAACCGGCATTATATCACCTAAACTGCTGTATAAACCAAGCGTTATTTTAGTTTATTTTGTATCTTTGAAATTCATGTACCGTGTATATACTCAAGGAGGTATAAAACAAATTTAGTTTATGCCTTCTTGATATACTCTACTATCTCGAAGAAAAAGCCCAAGTATGTTCTAAAAAATAAATGATCCAATTTTAGAGCCCATTTAGATTACTATCACTATGCTATATGCTATATGATATTTTTTTGAGACCCATATGAGCAGATTTTGTAATGTTATAAAACTCTGGTACAGTAGAAATATACATTTTGAAACAACGATTACCAGCACAAGAAAGTTCTACCAACTTGCTAAAATACTAAAGTACTGTAATAATGATTGGAGTTTCTAAACTTTCTTTAGGGAACCTTCATTGGTGTTATTCAGCACGCGGATGTGCCTTTATTTATGTAAACTCTAAGGTTAGAGATGCCGTACATCCAGTAGTGACGACGTCATTCCAACGTCCTCGATTACGGGACCGATTCATACTGCAGGGAACTAAGGATTACACTTCTCTATTATGTGCATCATCTGCTGCTGTTGAATACTTTAAGGATTTCGGAGGCCTGGTAATACAATTTCACATTTTCTGGGGGAAAATTAAAAAAAATATTTGAAGACCGCTTAAAAAAACAAAACACCTACGTATGGCTTGGTAGTTTAGACAGAAAGAATGAATATGAGAAAAGAATAAAAAAAAAAAAACGAAGAGAATAATAATAAAAAGCGAAAGATGGTAGAAGTTTTACAGGAAAGATGTAAAAAAGACGAGCAAATGTAGGTGAGGTGGAACAGTTATTATTTGTTAAAGATAGATATTGTGTATCTGATGTAGAATTCCATGAAATATCATCGGTTTCAAACATACCATCATTATATATGATTAAAAAAAAGAGCTGCTCAACTTAACAATCAATTTAACATACAAGTAAATAAAGAGTTAAATGCTGTTTGCCAGCCTCTTGACATTAAAATAAGAATGGCCTTGTCCAATATTCACTACATCTACATTGAAAACGCAGAAACGATAACTGTTAAAGTGACTGGTGATGGAACTAACTTTGGCCATTATTATGGTGTAACCAACATCGGTTTTTCATTGCATGGTAAAAATTTCAGCTCACCCGAGTATGTTGTTATAATAGCGGAAGCACCAGAAAAATATGATATTCTAAAGCTGATCATGAAAGATATTTCTGACACTATAAATTCATTTAAAGAACTAGACATTAATGATTTACACCTAACTTTAAATTACATATTCTGTGCTGATTTAAAATTTCTCAATGAAATGATGGGTATAGGAGCAGCATCAAGCAAATTTCCGTGCCTTTGGTGTAAATTTTTTTGATATGTCGATAAAATGATCGATGAATGATTCTGATAAGGGAGCAAGAAACTACCGTGAGATTTTAGCCATGTCTAATTTACCTGAAAGAAATAAAAAGAAATTCAGCTGTAAACATAGCCCAAAGTTGCCTATAGAAATATCTAATGTTGTAATGGACCCCCTACATATATTTACGAATATCCGATCAGTTGGTACGGCAATTGATTAAGGATCTGCTGGAACAAGATAAAATTGGTAAACTTCAGAAAAATGTTGATATTTCAAAATGTCACAACATTAAAACATTTGAAGATTTTGATCGTAGTTTAGGAATAAAGTGGAGATTTAGAACCGACAAAAAAACAGGAGATCTTACTTACATGGATTTCAGAGAGAATACCATGGCACAAAAAGATGGATAATATTTCAAAACTGTGGCAAGATTTCCCAGTTTTATTTAATACAATCAAAGGGCATGGGTAGATTTATTCGGACAAACCTATCTCACTCGTGATGTCACGCCACATATGCATGTGTTTGCAAACCATCTGTCTGAGAGTATTAAAATACATAAAAACATTAACCGTTTTTCACAGCAAAAATTTGAAAAAATGAATGATACTTTGACAAAACCCTATTTTCGATCATCAAACCATCAGATCTTGGATGCATTAATGCAAATAATGCTAAAAACAAACAGAATTGAGCACCTTTTTAATACATGCGAACGAAAGAAAAGAAAATATGAATGCTCATCTTGTAATATGAAAGGGCATAGGCGTGCATTATGCCCCCTAGGGGTATAATGTATACAGTAACTGCTGTATATAATGTATTTTTCATGTAATATTTACCTTGGTAATATGTATTATACTATATATAAATAAGATTATTATTATTAAATATTTTGATCTATGGATGATTAATGGTGCCACTGTAGTAAAATTTGACATATTTTGCATGCTTCTATATTTTAAAAGAGTGATGTTTAACTATAGCATACAAAGTAGTTTTACAGCTCAAAATTTATATTTTGGTTTAATATTAGTTGTGTTTTGCTAAGTATTTGTATTATCATTGATACTATTTTGTTATATTAGTAATTAATGTAACATTTTTAACAGTTTTTGGTTTAATATTAGTTGTGTTTTGCTAAGTATTTGTATTATCATTGATACTATTTTGTTATATTAGTAATTAATGTAACATTTTTAACAGTTTTGATGTAACTTTTTAACCAATTTGTCCGAAATGTAAATTGTTTATGCTTTTAATTAAGAGTAGTCAAGTTATTATTATTGTAATAATGTAATACAGTATATTTCACTAAGAGGGCTACCCTAATAAAATAAAACATAATAAATATATAAATGTTGACCATCATATCCAAGGTGTAGCAAACCTCATTTTGATATTTGAAAAAAAGTATTAGCTGAATCAGGTCTTTCATTCAGATACAATAAATAACTTGCAAAATACTTATTTTTTATAAATTTTAATTTACTTGTGTCTCAAGTTATAATTAGTGTAAAATATAAATATTGTAGTATTTAAGAAAAGTGGATTACACAATTTAGGCTCATTTTGTAATTCAGGTGGTCCTAAAATTATACGTAAGCATGCAATTTTATTAAATGTGAGTAAAATGAATTATTTTTATGATATATATATATACATATATATTTTTTGTAGTCTAGTAATTTAATATTATACATTTTACACATTGATGTCTTAACCATGTTAGTTACTTACCGTAGTTATTAATTGTTGTATAGTAAAAACTGTTTTGTAGTCATATTCTAGTTTGTAAATGTAACATTAATAGTGTCTATTTATATACATATATATATATTTATATTTTTTTTAAATAACCAAATACTACTAATGCAATATATTTAATACTGTAATAAAAACATTTAAAATATTACACTCAGTTAGTTCTTTCAATAAAAAAAAAATAAAACTGTTTTGTATCTACCAAAGATTTTTACTCAAGAAATGTGATACTGAATGGTATTTAGATAATTATGTATGTTGTTTAGAATAAAAATTGAAAGTCCATATGAAAATGTTATAGCGTTTAATTTGTAATTGTGGAAACCCCCTAAATTACAAATGAACTGTTCCAACCATTACGCGCTTGACTGATCACCCACAGTGTACCGTTAGCAGGAAGCTACCTTGAGGTCGAATTCAGGGAATAAAATTGCACTGCTAGCAAAATAAAATATTGTCGTAATGTTCATACTCTCGTCAACAACCCATCTCCCATGGTTGATTTCAGTCGCATTGCAGCTTTGCAACAAAATGATGAGGAATTGGGCAAACTACGTGATTCATCATCACTTCAACTCAAAGCTTTACCAATTCCAACTTCAAACTCTACAATTATTTGCGACGTTTCAACGGGTAACCCACGTCCATATATTCCATCAGACTTTCGACGCATAATTTTTGACACGCTTCATTCTCTGTCCCATCCTGGTTTTCGAGCAACACAACTTTTAATTACAGAGCGTTTCGTATGGCCAGGTATAAACCGTGATGTACGCCGATGGTCTAAAACATTCATTCAGTGTCAACCATCCAAGTTACAACGACACATCTCACCATTGCCTACTTTTTCCACGCCTGATGCTCGTTTTGACCATGTACACATTGATATAGTTGGACCTCTTCCACCCTCTATGGTTATACAGTAGTTATTTACTGACTTTTATTAAATAATAGTTTCACTCGTTGGCCGGAAGCTGTACCCATCTCTGATATAACAGCAGACACTGTTGCACACGTGTTTGTTGATTGCTGGATTTCTTCTTTTGGGGTACCTTCCACAATAACTACAGACCGAGGTCGACAATTTGAATCTACATTATTTAAATCACTAACACAATTACTTGGAACCAAACAAATTCGCACGACTGCATACCATCCGATGGCAAATGGACATGTTGAACGATTTCATCGCCATTTGAAAACTTCTCTCAAGGTATACAATGACCCTACGTACTTCTAGGAATTTGCACTGCACTTAAGGAAGATCTTGGACATTGTACCGCAGAGCTTGTGTATGGTACTACATTGCGATTACCAGGACATTTTTTTCATAAAGATTCTGAACTTACTGATTAATCTAATTATGTTCATAGATTACGTGATGTAATGAGTAATTTTTGTCCCACCCCAACCCGCACCAATCCTAACCGTAAATCTTACATCAATCGGGATTTACTAACTTGTACTCATGTGTTTGTTCGTAGGGATTCTATTCGTAAACCATTACAACATCCTTATGATGGCCCCTTTAAAGTGTTACGAAGAGCTGACAAATATTTTGTTCTTGACATTAGTGGTCGTCAAGACACAGTCAGCATTGACCGCCTAAAAGTAGCCCATTTAGATACAGTACAAACACCCACCTCCACCCTTGAACTTTGACCCCTTATCCCTGAATACCCTATAGACTCTGCCTTATGCCAATGTATATGCACAAAGGACAAGATAGCCTGGGTTCCAGGCCCTAATTTTAGGTTACTCACTCTTTATTGCACTTAGTGCGCGCCTTACCTAATTTAATTGGCGTCCCATACTCGATTTCTTTTTTTTTCGAATTAGGGCCTGGGCAAACGATTCATGCGTACGATTTCCCACATCAAATTTGATGTGGGATATCGTATGCATGACTGATTTTGTAAATCACGTGACTGGCTTATTCCGTCTATCTCTAAATTAACTTTCTCGTTGGTGGCGCTGTCCAGAATGAGAAAAATAATTAAAAAAATAAGAGACTTGTGGCAAGTCTAAGGACAAGACTGCGCTATGTTATTTGTGAGAGAAGTAGTCTTTTATACGATTGTTGGTTTTTCCACCCCAATGCCCCTTATGTGACCTTTGACCCCAAGTTGTGAACAACACATAAATGAGAGGTGGCACCGGTCCTACTAAGTTTTAATTAAATCGGTCCAGTACTTTGCCACTAGTAGCCTTTTAAAATGTTGCCAAAAAGAAAGAAGAATCTACACAGAAACAGAACCCAGTCAGCCTGCTGCTGACCGGGTAATTGTACAATGGAAACTAAGCATGTTTGAAAAATACTGTATGCTTATGATTATTATGATTATGATTATGATTATGAAAATTGATCTGGCAGCAACGCCATAACGCACCACACAGCGAAGCATAACTGGGCAATCGGACCGATTCTTCAATGATCAATATGGGCGGCCATTAGGGTCAAAATAGAAAACTCAACAAACAACAGACAATCTCAACAAACACGGACAAACTCAACAAACAAAGGACACACTCAACAAATAAAAGACAAACTTACAAAAATGATTTTCCCATCCAACAAACTACATACACTAACAGCGTC